TACATTCCAACCCTACAAAAACACCATCAGGCTGTGAGTATAAGTTTTTGCCTCTGTCTCCCGGGATGCTGCGACTTTTCTCTCTCAAAGCCTTCTTCTCCATTTCAAATCTCTCAATTGCCTTCAAAAATCAAAAAGAAACAAGGCATTAGGGATTTCTGCAAATACTGGAGGAGAGAGGTGGGGCCAGGGAGTAGGCTATTTCTCTACTCCGACAGCACAAAAAAAAACTGTTTTCATTTCTTCGGACCCCCTCTCATGGGGTTGGGTCAGAAAACTGCGTGAAGCTTGTCAGATGTTAAGATGACACGTGGCCTCCACATCAGGAGTCGGTAGGGAGAGGCGGGGACTGTGAGGGTCTGCAGACCTTGTGCTCTGGTACAGAGAGCCACTGTTCTTCCGCTCAGGCTGATGACTACCATGTGGGAATAGGGACCCCAGCCCCATGATAGGTGCACAACACACCAATGGTATGGGAAGCCCGGAAGTGGCCCACAGACTCTAGAGTGGATGGAAAGCCTGCAGGTTAGATAGAGAGTGAACCTTCCTGTGACCTTCATCATTACATCTGTCACCCTCACAGCTGCCATTGGTGAGCGTCTCTACCACAGGAGTGGGTAGGCCAATGAGCTGAGTTTTAAAGTCCTTTCCAATTGAACCATCTATGGGACCCCAGCACAGTGACCCGCGGGTGGGCTAACTTTGTTTTGTCGCTCTCTTTTTCAAATACATCCTGGAGATTTTTATAATTACGCTTCCGATATCTTGAGCGCCATTAAAAATGAAAATCAAATACATGCCATTGCCCAAACCCAAGGAAGCCCCAAAGACACCTGCTTAGGATCCATGCCAGCATTCTTCCACCTCATTGGAGTTGTGTGCCTTTGTAATTCCAGTCTCTCAACAGTTAGGGGTGTGTGTGTGTGTTTGTGTGTGTGTGTGTGTACTAATTATTGTTTGTTTGTTTTTTATGCAAGTGAATCAAAGATGTCAATTATGCACATATTTTTTTTTAATAAATAAAGGATCCTCAGGCCACACCTTGATGATCCTAAGGGCAGAGGATTAGATTTTGCTCAACTGGACCCATTGGTACCCCTTTCCCTGCAGCCTTGCCTCAGCCCCAGCCCCAGCTCCCATAACTCACCAGGATGTTGGCCAATGGGTTGGGAATCAGATCTACTTCAGTGATCCTTCGGTTAACCTGGTCCATGGAGCCAATAATGCATGCTGGGAGGTGGGTCAGCTAAGGAAGCTCTCTGGACGGTGATTCCACGGACCATGGAGTGACTTAACTTCTTTTATCTTATTTTAAATGAGCTACTTTATAAATTATAAATTTTGGCATATTACAGGCACTTTCCCTGACGGAGCTATGGTTAAGCACTAGACTGTTAACCCAAAGATTAGCACCCACCCAGCACCTCCTTAGCAGAAAGGCCCGAGGATCTGCTTCCATAAAGGCAAAACCAAAAATAGATAAATAAAGAAGATGTTGTTAGGCATCGTCGAGTTGGCTCTGACTCACAGCGACCCCGTGCACAACAGAACAAAATGCGGCCCAGTTCTGTGCCATCTTCACAATTACAGCTACGTCGAAGCCCACTAATGCTGCCACTGTGCCAATCCACCCCTTTGTGTGTGTGTAGGGGGGAGGACTTCCTCTTTTTCACTGACCCTCCACTTTACCAAGCATGATGTCCTTCTCCAGAGAGTCATCTCTCCTGATAATATGCCCGAAGTAAAAGAGACAACATCTCATCATCCAGACTTCTAAGGAACATTCAAACAAATGTTTGTTCTTCTGGCAGTCTATGGTACTTTCAATATTCTTCCTCAATACCATAACACAAATACAGCAATTGTTCTCCAGCCCTACTTATTCACTGTCCAACTTTCACATGTATAAGAGGTTATTGAAAGTACCATGGCTTTGGTCAGGCACACCTTAGTCCTCAAACTGACATCTTTGCTCTTCAACACTTTATAGATGTCTTGTGCACAGATTTGCCTAAT